CCCCCCCCCGCAAAGACACCACTCTTCCTAATTGATTTTTCAAGACGTTTTCAGTAGTAGCTATTCTGTAAGTCTTATTATTATTTATTAGGACTCAAGTCCCCTCGAGATATTTTGTAAAGTCCGAAATTCCGTGTTGTCGGCACGTGTACCTTAAGTATACTTCTTATTAAGAACGCTGCAAACGTAACTCCTCGCAAATAATATATATATATAGAAGATAATAATATTATATTATATTGTATAAATGTTCTCATAATTTGCTTAATATAATATACATCATACACAGTATAATACAACCCACGACGATTTAATATTATTATTTATTGACAATATAACGAGTAACGACACTGTAAATAACAGCATAGTAATAGGAATAATGTGCATAATCACAGACGTCTGTGTACGTATTGCAGGTGAACAGCCACTCGTGCCGTCAGACGAGTCCACGTGCAGTCACCGCGTGTCGACGCCGGGAAGGAGATGACGAACTAACTGATCTCGGGGGGGGGGGAGCGTACAAAATATTATGTGAATATAAAGCATTCGGTATATTTTATCGTTATGGTATTATTGTTATATATTATTACGTCGTACACACGTGGAGTGTATCTACATGCGTACGATGATTTTATAGCTGAAATAACCATTTCAAATGAGCAATATTGTCAACATATCCTTACCGCGTATGTGGCTGCGAAATCATACATTTTTTGTAGGTATATAGTAGCCCCAGACCCCGTATACAAAATTATAATATAAAATACCCGGGGCTTTATTCATAATAATATTATATTGATACGCCCCCCCTGGCGATTTCGATCCGGTATAGTCATCCTCCCCCTAGCCTGGACGGTGTCACGTGGTGATGTGAATTCGTAGTCGAACGGCACAACGAGTTTAGTTTACCTATATATATATATATAATACATACACAATAATATAATATACCTAATCATAATAAATACGACTAACTACATCTGCAGCTGCGATCGCGGTGTTATTATTTATCGTCGGACGGTTGATTTATTTTTTAAGGGGGTGTGCTGATTGGGCTGCAGCCTGCAGGAGCCCACACGGTTTTGTGTAATTTATTATATTTTATTATTTAACGGTAAGTACGGAAAAATCGATCGTAAAAATATTATCAAATGCCTTGCTAAAATATTATAATAATTTATTTTTACTTACTTAGTACATAGTCCATAGTACTCGGGGGGCCAGAAAGTATACGTCAAAAACATTGTAACTTTGAAAATGAATGCCTCGAAATCATTTCAAAAAAAAAATTATATCATTTTTAATATTTGTTGCAAGTTTAATTTTACTAAAAGTTAAACACCATAAAATATGTTAAAATTTAAAAATGATAACAAAAATTAATTGATTATGATGTTTAATTATATGGGGCCCAAAGATATTCGGACCAATACTCACCACTATTAGGTAGAACTAGTTAAAAGTACCTTTTTAATTTTATACTTCGAATAGTATTCATATTATTCTACAAAAATCAATTTCCAGACGAGTAGTTAATTAGTTGGTACAATTATTAAAATTCTTGATGAGTAGAGTAGTGAAATAATATTTGACATTGTCTGATTTGAAATAAAGAATTAAAATGTATACTGTCATATAAAAAAAAAAAAACATTGGAAAATCATCCTTCATGTTATTTATTGTATAATAGTACAAGGGAGTAGCGTTCTGAGACTGCCCAATGGTTGGGAATCTGAGATAAAAAAAATAAAAAAATACCATTTGCATTTAAAGGTTAACCAGAACATGATGGTGCAAAACTACAGACTGCAGATCGTATATTACTGTACAAGATCAAACAGATTGCGTTTCGGCAAAGATTTTGGCAAACACAACTGCAGTAGCACACACAAATGGGTAGGTACAATTAGAGCATGAGTCGCTGACACGCTTATCGCGATAGGTGGTGGGTGGCCAGGCGACTTGTAAATTTATTTGAAGATTATTTTTTACTATGAATTAAAAACTATAGGAATTATTATTACTGACGTCAATGTGTAAATGTTGATCAAAACCACTTTTTTTTTTCGTTTTTTGTAGGTATATTATGCTGAACAGATGGGGGGGGGGGGTAATCATGGTAATACATGTTACAGACACCAAGTGTACGTCACTGGTAAACACATCATGTGAGGGCACAAAATACCGGGACAAGGTTTCAAAGTCAAAAATGCAGTAAATAAATAAATGTTTAAATATTTAGCGAAATTTCACTGATGTGCCGAGAGCTAACGGTTTACGCTCACTGTTAACTTATGTACGGCATAGTTTAGACATCGTACTCTGTTCGTTGCCAAAATTAGGTCAATTTCAACAGCCCTCACTCCCTGCAGTATATATATATATATACGTTAGAATTTAGTGACAAACAATGTCATGATTACAAAATAGGAAGACACTCCTCTGCTCCTTGCCGGAGTAAATAGAACTTTAAAGAAACTCAAAGCCCCGCGATGTAATTATTATTGATAAGATCTAGTAATAGACTGTTTCTATATATATATATTATATTGTTCAGACATTTGAAGATCAAGTGCATTGACATAAAAAAAATATTATATGGACTCGCATAATAATAATATAATATAAGTCGATGTTATTATCGCGTTTATTAATAACTATTGACTTTGGAATTTGTGTTGTACCCATAAATTATTGTCAAAATTATTAACGACTATCGTAATTGAACACTCGGCGGCGTCCGTATGAATAATTAAAAACCGGGGAAATCGCTCTGCCGTATAGTGTTATAGTCGTCGACGGGACGTCACAGTTGTAGTTGTAATGGATGTGTTAAATTCAACGATAAACCATGTTATTATTATTATAATATTATACACGAAACACGATTCGGAGACGGTCAATCGTCCTATACTTCTCAGGATAGTGTTCAAACATTGTAATGTAACATTTATTACGTCCTACGTCATGATGTAAGCTATACCAAGCTATAGACAGGTTAGGTTAGGTTAGGTTACAAAATAATGTACACACTTGACC